ATATAACAATACAGACCTACTAGCTACCAAACTGGACAACTGCCATTCAAAATGGTCCCTTGAGCACTTTTTATTTCTCAGTCTAAGTTAGTAATACATTTTGATGGCTAGCCAACAGATAGTGTAGTATTAGATAATTAATAAACTATAGACAGCAAGAGTTGGTTGGATTTTTTTTAATCCATTTAAAAATTACCATGCATTATAATTCACTGAAGGAGGTATCAGGTAATAGAGATTGCACTGTCTTATATAAAGAACAGAGACATGTATAGGAACAATAGCTCTCTGGGATTATCTTTAACATGTGAATCTCCACTCGTGAGGCCAATTTGCAGGATGTGTCCTTTTAATGATTAAAATTTAAATTGAAATATATGTGTAAATTTGTTTTTGTGTATACATGTGTGCTGATTGTTTGACATCTGTTTTGAAAACTATTATAGGCATTATTTTAAAAAAATTTTTTTAATGTTTATTTTTGAAGGAGAGAGAGAGAAAGTGAGCAGGGAAGGGGCAGAGAGAGGGGGAGACACAGAATCTGAAGCAGGCTCCAGGCTCTGAGCTGTCAGCACACAGCCCAATGTGGGGCTCAACCTCATGAGCCATGAGATCATGACCTGAGCCAAAGTCAGGTGCTTAACCGACTGAGCTACCCAGGTGCCCCTATTATCTTTAATTTAAATGGTATCAAATTTGAGTTCAGTGAGTTTGGATAACTTTGCAACCAGCTACTAGTTGCTGGGTCCAGGACTTAATCCCTATACTGTTTCTCCAAAGTACTTAAATTTTCTAATCACAATCCAGTCTTACAGACTTGACAATTGTAATGTTAGATAATAATGTGTGTTTAAAAGAAGATATGGAGGGGTGCCTGGGTGGCTCAGTTGGTTAAGTGTCCAACTTCAGCCCATGTCATGATCTCGAGGTCTGTGAGTTTGAGGCCCGCGTCGGGCTCTTTGCTGACAGCTCAGAGCCTGGATCCTGCTTCTGATTTTGTGTCTCCCTTTCTACCCCTCCCCTACTCATGCTCTGTCTCTCTCTGTCTCAGAAATAAATAAACATTAAAAAAAAATTTAACAACAACAAAAAATAAAAGACGATATGGAAACTTCTGGGTTATCAAAACATCTAATTTTTACTAACAAATGGCAGCTGAATAAGATGAGCTTTATAATGCCTTATTTGATTGTAAATAGAATTTTATTTAGTCATTGAACATTTTTTTCATAATATAACATGAGATTTTTTAAATTTCAAAATTTTTTTCTCATAGGGAGGTGTATAAAATGCAATTTTACTCATCAGCCTCGCCATCCCAAAAATTTTCCAGACTGAATGACTTTTCCAAATATAATAAGACCATTTATGATGTGATATTACACTTGAGTGGAAAACTGCCACCTGGAATTCATTCAAGTCAGTCTTTACCTGTGGATTATACTAAAAGGGTGATTCAACTTCATTTTCAACATTCTTCACTTCTTGACTTTCTCAAGTAAGAGCATGGATATGCTAATTTAAGCATGTAATATTGGCTTGGATAGATATATAAGTAGATGGGTAGATTTTGGTATCATTTATCTTTTTATAAAATATTTACTAAGTTTCCTATATATATTATATATATAATACACACACACACACACACATATATATATACACACATATATATATCTGTAAAAGTAATAAAAAATAATAGAAAAATAATAGAAAATAAATATTTCATGAGCTATGGGATTGATAGTCTAAGGCAATTATTCTCAAGCTTTATCATCCATCCAAATCATTATGATAGCATGTTAAGTGAGTTGCTGGCCCTTAACCCACAGAGTTTATGATGTGAATTTGCATTTATAACAGTTTTAAGTAATACTGATTCTTCTTGTCCATGACCTCACTTTGAGAATTCTCACATAGATAAATATGTAAATCCATAGAACTAAAGAGGAATTAAACCAGTAAGTTTATTTCTCAGAATACTGTTCATATAAGCTCAAGTTACACTGTGAATTTTTAGTCTGCATTGGTAAGGTTTTTAGTACTAAAATAATCAGCAAGTGAAAATTTCCGTAAATGGTTGATAGAAAATATAGGAAAAATACTTGTCATTATAATGTCTGTATTCCTCTACAGAGATTAAATGGTGAGTGAGCAAGAAATGGAAAAGCAATGTTTATTAAAAGTCTGAGGAGAGTGTTGGTGATTTATATTATTTTGTCTTCCTATATTTGCAGTATCCTTAACCACTGGAACATCCATAAGCAGTGTTACTGTTCCATCTAATCATGTTCCTGTACCACTAAAATAGCATTTGTTACTTGTAATTATTTATGCAATAGGATTCATATATTTTGAAATATATTAGTTTTTAAATTGGTTCTTCTTTGTGTATGGAATCTACTCCATAGTTAGCCAGAGATGTTCAGCTACCTTAGCGGGGGTGGGGATGGAGGGTAACAAGAGGCATCTCAAAGGAAAGATTTGGTGTTCAGGTTTTTTTTTTTAATTTCCAAATTAGAATTTTTGAGTCCCTGGCAACATTATGGTCTTAAAAGTTAGACATATTACAGAGAGACAGGAAGGTGATGGCAGAGTAGGAGGACCCTAGGCTCTCCTCGTCCCACCAACACTAGATAACTATCAAATGATCCCCAATCCCACAGAAACTGACCTGAAGACTGACAGAACTACACAGCTAAGGGGAGAAAAGAGGCCATATTGAAGAAGGTGGGAAGGGTGGAGAGGTGGTTTAGGGGAGAAATAGATCCTGGCTGCTACAGGGGGGAGGCAGCCGTGGTTACCGAGAAGGGTGAGAGCCAGAGGAGCACACAGGGAAACACACAAGGAGAATGTTTCCCCCTAACCATTGGTTTGGAAAATGAGAGGAACCAGAGGAGCTGAATTTCGGAGCTGAATTTTGGAGCTGAATTTCGTGAGTTCTTGCCACCAATGGGCTTAAACCCTGGAATTTTAAAGATGAGCAGTCTTGGCTGTGATAGAGCTTGGAGGGCACTGTGCTGCTCTAGGAGAGAAGCTGGGCAAACAATCCAAGGGCATACAGTGTGGAAACAGCTGAAGAGTGGCTGGGGCACACAGTGGGGCGATTATTTGCTCCACCTCCATCAGAATTGAAACCCTGCAAAACTCTGGTCAGGAGATGTGGTATGGGCTGGGGTTTGTGATGGTATTCCGGGGGAGGGGTCTCCCAGGCTGGGACTGAGGCCAGCTTGACTGAGAATGGCAGTTCCACTAGAAGAATGTGGGGTGGGGCTAGTGTAAGCAAGTTAGGCAACCAGTGTCCTTGCTGTGCTGCTTCCCCAGGTGGCTGGCTCTGTGTTTATGCCGAGGGGCGGGAGGGAAATGGCAATGGCCAGGTCCTTTCTTCCTGGAGAGGTTGTCTCTGTGAATGCGGCCTGACAGGGACACACTCTGAGAAGAGCAAAGAAGTCACCTAAGGAAACTGAGCTAAGACCCGGCCTCCTGTTCTAGAGGCTGACTAATGACAGGGACGCCACTGAAGATGCAGAAGGGGAGGAGATGGCTGGCTCTGAAGCCACAGTATGAATGACAAATATATGAGGACTGGGATGGGGCTAAGTCAGTTATGAGGGACCTCTTGGTCCTCAATGGGGCTAAGAGGAGAGACGCGAGATTTTCATCTCAGGCCTCAGTGGCAAATGCCCACCCACATGGCAGCTAAGCTCCAGACAGAGATAGGGAACATTGCCAAAGAGACTGAGGATCCAGAAAAGTAATCACAAACCTGCTTGTACAGATACAAAAGTCCCTCTCACCTACTTCATGTGAACCCAAATATAGGACTGATCCATGTTCTGAGAGGCCTTACACAATTTGGAGATCCTTCCTTAACAAAATATCAAATTAAAAATATAAAATTTAGATATACGGATATATACACGGCTTTAGAAGAGACTCATGAAAGTGAGGAAACCTGAAATTGAAGCTTTATTTATTAGACAATATATCTGCCTCTTCCCAGGTGCCATCTTGTGCGGGAATCGAGAGGTCTGAAATTGATTGCTTATCCCAAAGCACAGGATTACTTGTAAAGAGACTGTTAAGTTTAGGAAAAACTAAGATATGTGAACATTCAAGTCTATGTTTTCTTCCTGTTTATCTGTGCCCCATCTGGTTGAACGAATGAGAAAGATTATATCAGTTAAGGAAAACAGCATGGCTATGTATAACTTTGTAAATTATTTTCATACCACTGACTTATTTATGAGTCAGTGTACCCCCACTAATTTGCGTGCATGTTAAGGGTAGGAAGCACTTCTCATTCATCTGGCATCTCTGACACCCAGCATCCTTCATAACACAGAGTGGAACCAATGTTCATTAAATATTTATTTATTAACATTGTCTTTCACAGACATTTGCTTTTTGAGCTTGTGTGGTAACAGGAAGAAAACTTTGAAATTGAGTCTCAGGGTAATCATAGAAGAATGGAAAAAAATTTCTGAGATATGAAAAATTAGGGATAAGAGAAGAAAACATAAAGTATTTGCATTCCAGGAGAGGAGGTGTAGCCAGTCAGAGAGGATCAAGTTGGGAAAATGTGGAGTCTGTACTATGAAAGTTATACATTGAACTTTATTTATAATACTAACCTATAAATTCTTTAATTATTAAAGCACTTATTTCCTCATATCCGTATTAGTTTGCTCTGGCTACCATAACAGACTAGAAGGTTTATACAACAGAAATATATTTTCTTACAGTTCCAGAGACTAGAAGTGCAAGATCAAGGTGTTGGCAGATTGGGTTTCTTATGAGGCCTCTTTGCTTGGCTTGGAGACAGCCACCTCCTCTCACATGGTCTTCCCTTTGTGTACGCACACCCCTGGTGTCTGTGTGTCCAAATTTCATCTTCATATAAGGACATCAGTCAGATTGGATTCGGGCCCACCTAATGGTCTCATTTTATCTTAATCACCCCTTTAAAGGCCTTAACTCCAAGTATAGTCCAATTTTGCAGTACCATGTTAGGGTTTCAACATATGACTTTTTGAGGGGACACAATTCAGCCCATAACAATGCCATATGTCTTGTAAAAACTATTTTGAAAACAGGTATTATAGTTTGTAATAAATTTATCACTCTATTTGAAACAATATGCTTAATTTTTTTTTTGTCATTTGTGCCTGTTATGGAGTTAATTGGGTTTCCCTCCAATTTATTTGTTAAAGCCATAACCCCCAGTGCAACTGTATTTGGAAACAGGACCTTTAAGAAGGTAATTATGTTGGGGCACCTGGATTGTTCAGTAGGTTGAGTGTCTGGCTCTTGAGTTCAGCCCAGGTCATGATCTCATGGTTCATGAGTTTGAGCCCCACATTGGACTCTGGGCTGACAGTGCAGAGTCTGCTTTGGATTCTCACTCTCTGTTCCTCCCCTACGTGTGAGGGATCCCTCTGTCTTTCTCTCTCAAAAATAAAATAAATATTAAAAAGAAAACAATGTAATTATGTTTAATGATATCATAAAGATGGGATGCTAAGCTGTCTGCAAGCCCGGAAGAAAGGGCTCACAACCAACCAAATTTTCTAACATTTTGTTCTTGGGCTTCTTGTCTCCAGAAATGTGAGAAAATAAATTTCTGCTGTTTAAACTACCCAGCCTGTGGTATTCTGTTATGACAGACTGAGCAGACTAACACAGTGCCTAGTGTTCTTTGATATGATTTCATTTATTTATAACCATTAATCATTTTTAGGATGTCATTAACTTTCACTGAAAAAATAAACTTTTTTTTATTATTTCCATAATATAAAACTAAAACAAGCAGAACAAAAACACTATGTACCTAGCATTGAAACTGCAATGTAGGTTATCATATAATCTAAAACTATTGTAACTGTTACTTTCCAATACCATTGATTTTTAAATAAATTTTTCATTCACCAAAATAAATACGCTGAGAAAACCAACTCACTCTGCTTTATACATAAATGTAATTCCATTTGTTATTTCATTTCTTTTATCTTGAAAAACTTTATACCCTTCTTACTTATGCATGACCACTATGGTATCTTATTTAATGGAATGGCATCTAAGAATAAAAATATTTCAAAGCAGCAGTCTAAGAGTGGTTCTGGAAGAATGCACTGATATTGGGTACAAGAGCATGGCTTTTGAATTAGGTAGAGATAGGCTCAAATTCTAGCTCTTTCGTACTTGTGTGAATTTACACAATTTAACCCATTTAAGCTTCAATTTCCATATCTGTAAAGTTGAAGATGATAATTCCCAAACTTAATTGGTTGATAAAACAATTAAAAATATTAAATATGTATGACATGACACATAGTAGATTATGATGATGATTAATTTAAATGAAATAAGTTGTGATCTATGGGTTTCATATGCTAAAATGTTTTCTTATGTTTCTTCAATATGGTAGCCATTAGTGACATGTGGAAAACTGACTCTTGTGATATCATTATCACTGAAATACAATATTTTAGTTTATTTATTTTGAGAAAGAGGGAGAGTGGGGGAGAGAGAGCAGAAGAGGGGCAGAGAGAGAGGGAAAGGGAGAATCCCAAGCAGGCTCCGCACTGTCAGCATGGAGCATGCTACAAGGCTCGATTCCACGAACCCTGAGATCATGACCTCAGCTGAAATCAAGAGTCAGACACTTAACTGACTGGGCCACCCAGGTGCCCCCAAATAGAATATTTTAAAAGTCTGTACCTCTATAAGAAAGAAAAGTTTTATTGACATAAAACTGCCAGAAAACCAATATTTATCAAGTGTGTCTTTATTAGATAAAATAGAAACTTTTAAAAAGTTTTTATAATTTTAAAATAGAAAGCACATGACTTTTGTTTTAATTTTGCTGTGTCCCACTCTTGGTCTTTGATGATTGATTTAAATAAAGTAAATGTTTTAGTTCAATAAGGCAAACATTCTAATGACATTTTAATTTTAGAAAGTTAGTTGTGTTTATCTCTTTTCTTTTAGAAGGGGTTAATTATAATTATTTACAAAAAAAAAAGTTGCATTTTAAAATCTATTGAAGTGTTACCTATGAACAGAAGAAAAAGGGTCAGATGCTTAAATAAATCTTTATTGTTTGTGCATTATAGAAATTAAACAGTTTTCTGATAACTTTAGTAAATTATATGGTACTCAAAATCGTCATCTTATTATTGTAGCGCTGATGTTGGTACAGCTCCCAGTAGTGTTGACACTAACATGGATGGTTTCTGTTTTGACATTTTATGATGTGAGGACACAAGTATGGAAGAATGATTTTGGAGTTAATGCCAAGCCATTCAAATTTATTGCTTTTTTATTAGCAAATACATATGTTGGCTATGATAAAATCCCTCAACATTTCAATGGTTAATAAAATTGGGTCATTAATCCAAGATACATGCATATGTTTCATCATGGAAATAAATATATTAAATTCAAAAAATCATAAATGTTACAGTGAACAATTACAGTATACAAGTGAAATTATATTGATTTATACAATAAATGAGAAATTCAAAAATCTTTGGAGATCAAGTTGAGGATTTAATAACTCATTACATCTAATTTATTTTGTTCTACTTAGTGTAAACTTGGAAGAAATATGTAAATAGAAAACCTAGCATGTAAAAGTGTAATCAAATCATTTATGAAAGTCAACTCTCTATAATACTGATCAGACATAAAATCTATTGACAAAGCACAATCATTAATACTGTCTTAGGGACTGATGAAGTTAGGATTTAAGATAGATTCCAAATGAAAAGAAGAAAACGAGTCTCTTACATGGGAGGAAAAATAATTTTCCCTTGACCCTTCTAGATTCTTGGCTGAGATCCACCCCCCCCCCCAACCTGCCCTGTAATATAAAGACCGGAGGAAAAAATATTGATTGTGTATGTTAAGTTTAGTAGCCCCCCAAAGATTTGAGACTCAAAAGAAAGCCTAAAGATGAGACTTCTATACCATTCTGAGCTAAGGAAAAGAATAGGAGTCTAGGGCTTTCAAGAGGGAAGGGGGCCAAGATGGGGAAGAGGTAATTCTTTGCAAAGGTGAGAGGAGGAAATACTTGTTACACAAAGGTTGCCCGGTCATGCAGATAAAACTTTCAATTGAAAAAGTTATCTATTTCCCTGCAATAGCTCTCTTCCTGGTACAGGCCCCTTTTCTAATGTAAATTTCCTTTCTAAAGGTATGTTTTCCTTTACAAAAGGGTGACTTCTACTCTGTTTTTAGAGCTTCTCCTCCTGCAGTTTCTCAAAATAATTGGTGTGCCAAAGAAGTATATTTTCCAGTGGCATATTCTGCTAACCTTCACTTCATAACAGTGTCTGTAAAATTCTGTGAAAAAATAAAATTCACCTCAGTAAATTTTATCAACGTTTATTTATTTTTGGGACAGAGAGAGACAGAGCATGAACGGGGGAGGGGCAGAGAGAGAGGGAGACACAGAATCGGAAACAGGCTCCAGGCTCTGAGCTGTCAGCCCAGAACCTGACGCGGGGCTCGAGCTCACGGACCGCGAGATCGTGACCTGGCTGAAGTCGGACGCTTAACCGACTGCGCCACCCAGGCGCCCCGAAAAGCTTTTTACCTCACCCTTAACTGTCTACACGAATTTACATAAAAGTTTGTACCAGGAAGGGAGCTAATTACCAGAGATAACTTTTCCTATCAGAAAGACTTAACCACATGGCATGACAAATGACGCTTTACCAAATATTTGCTCTTTTCATAATCCTGTGAATTTTCTCCCTCCCCTTGGAAGACCCAGACCCCTAACCCCTCTCCTTAGCCTCAACTGCCTGACTGCCTCTCAGTCTTCCTGTCTTTGTGGGGCTCCCATAGGTATGTAATTAAATCTGTTTTTTTCCCCCTCTTCATCTGTCTGTCAATTTGATTATTGGATTAACAAAAATACCTAGAAGGTTAGGAGGGAAAAGTTTTCAGTTCCTACAGCACAAAAGCAGATTGGTTATTGCAAAGTTACTTTGTCTAGGAGGGATGGTAGGGATCTTTCAGGCAGATTACCTAGCTAATGCTGCTCAGGCATTTCTGAGGGACTGCTTTCAGATCCCCTTTCTGGGAGAGCTGAAATCATAATGAAGTTAAATCTCACTTTTGGGGACATGGAGTTTAGCATAACTGACTCCATTTGGGGCTTGTTGTCTTTAATATTGCAAAATATTCATTTCATTCTTCATCCTCAACATTTTACTGAGGGCCGATTCTCTGCTGGACACTATGGAATACTGAAATGAATACCACACGGTCTCCTTCCTTACGAAGTTCTCAGTTTAATGTTTCCCTGATAATTTTTCTTAGACTTTCGGTAGCATTTAATAGAAGTGATGATTTCCTTCTGGAATCCCGTATTTGTTTTGGATGCAAGAAAGTATTCCAGCTTCTGCATGTCTCTGTCTTTGTTTAGACAGGCAGCTCAGGGACAGACACCACTGGGATTTCAACTTCATGGATCGTCATCTCATTTGAGTGCTTACATATGCTTTAGGTGGGCGACTCCTGCTAAGGAGTAGTGTTCCATTAAAATTAGATATTATTTAACTCTATAATAATTGCAGCCTAGTGAGGAATCATAGGAGTAATGTAGATGCAGATGGGAAATGTGTGACAATCAAACAGAATGGATGGTGTTTGACTTCTGAACAAAGGAGCTTTATGCATGCAGTATAATTTCTTCCACCAGCTTCCTCTGGCCCAAAGCCAAGGCCAACTTAATCTCTCTAAAACTCTGCTCTTTGCTTCCATCCCCACTAGGGTTCCCTTTCTCACTTCTTTTTTCTCATTCATCTGTGCTACCTTCAAGCTTTGAGCTTATAGAATTATCTTGAGATTCCTTTCCACCTTTTCTTTTTCCCACTTTTCAGTGGTTACAGGACTGCAAAACATCTACAGAGTTGAGTACTAGAGGTGGCATTCTCTGACAAATACTTATCGTGGATGGCATTCTATGGTCACTAAATGAGTTAGACTTGAACATTTAAATCCCCACTAGGAAGCACTCCTGCCCAAACCGTATTAGATTAAACTTCGTTAAAGTGGTTCTGCTGGTGGTAGACATGAATATGAAGACCTTGAATTAAAATATTTCAAGAAATATGACAGTTAAAAATATAATCTTGAATGTGATAAATTCTATACATATGAATATAGATATGCCTTTAAATGTATAAAATATTAAATAGATATTTGCTACAACAGATATACTACTACAAGTTTATATAATCAGAGAAGCCAGAATTTTTGGATATTGTCTGGAAAAATAGGTGATAAATTGTGTTATATTTGGGGGTTTCTATATTCAGGTATATGTTGTGATAGGCATTCACTAAGCATTGGGTGACTAATGATCTGTTAGATGCTTTATTGTATTCATACATTTCCTGGATATTTTTCAGTTTTATAATGTTTTTTTTTTTAAGTTTATTTATTTTGAGAGAAAGAGAGAGAGAAAACACAAGTGGGGGAGGGGCAGAGAAAGAGAGGAAGAAAGAAACAATCCCAAGGAGGCTCCTTGCTGTTAGCATGGGGGGCTCAAACTCACGAACTGTGATATCATGGCCTGAGCCGAAACCAAGAGCCAGACGCTTAACCAACTGAGCCAGCCAGGCACCCCTCAATTTTATAATGTCATACAGCAATAAAATGGTTAGTGTCTTGGCAATAGGAGTCAAGTCATATAACTCTGTGTTCTGTTACTTTTTAAGGATAGATGTGGCTGATTATAGGCAAGTGAAATTCTTAAGATTATAGAGTTTAGTAAGTTCTTTGTCATTATTAATTCTCTAAAGAAAGCATCATATGCACGTTTCATTGTTAAGAGAACTGTTAAGACGATACAAATTTTAAATTTGAAAATTAAAATTCAATACACATTAAACTGTATGACATTGAAATAATTGATGTTCAAATGCAAATGAAATACAAACCATTGAGTATTCTATCATAATAATTTGGACTTTTATTTTATTTTAGCACTCAAGGAGCATGTATTTCTCATGTGCTGCCAGAATTTCTGCTTGAACCAGAAGATTATAAAAAGTGGCTTGAAATTACAGTAAGGGAATACAATTTCTAGAACAATCTACACAGATATTGAATTGACTGATTTCTGGTCTTTGTTAGAAGATTTCATTTTAAAATCTTGGTATTTTTATTTATGAAATGTCTTATGGACTCTGCTTCTCTGCAAAGCCTATGTGTGTGTGTATAAATATTAATATAAATATTAAGAACAAACATTTAAATATATGTGTATACATATACACACACAGACATGTTTTTCTGTCTGTCTAAAAGTTTTTATGGAGTTCCTGTTGTCAGAGAACAAGAATATCATGTCCCCTTCAAGGTCCTTCTAGCTAGACTGAGAATTAAATTGTCATGAGACAGATTAATAGGAGAAAATAAAATTTACTAGCAGACATAAGGGGAATCCACATAGATATGGAAATTCCAAAGAGAGGCAAAATGAGGTATAAAAGTCATCCTGAACTAAGGAGAAAGGGGGTAGGGGTCTGGGACTTTAGAGAAAAGGAATGTACTTCACAATGTGATAAGAAGAGTAGATGTTTGGTAATTAGGTGTTTGCCCTGCCAGACAGATGGGCCACTCATATAAAAATTTATCTCTGCTAACAACCTTATTTTGATAGAGATACCCCCCCCCCCACCACATACAGACTCTTCTGTGAGTTAAGGGAGGGGAAAAATTTCTCTTGGACCCACAGGACCTGGGTTTTGGAGGGACCTGTCCCAAACGCCTTCAAACTCGATCTTTGTGCCAAAGTGACCCATCTTGGGGCAGCCTGCCCTCGGACCCTACACTGTGCAGAAATGATTACATGGCTTTCTTAAATATATAATTGCTTCTTTTAGTGGATCTAATAATGGAGAATAGTTTATTCTTTTGTAAATGATTTTTTAAAGGAAATTTTTAGAATATATATCTTCTAAGGAAATACTGGTTGAATTTCCCTACCACTTGCCATTTCCCTTCATTTCCCTTCTTCATTTAAAGGGGAGAATAGGCAGAAATTAAGCAAAATATGCCTAGTTGTTTTCAAAGTACACAGTTCATTTTATGGAAACCTGCTGAGAAGGGGAATTGCTTGGAGAAGCCTACAGGCTTTGAGGCGACTCTCCTCTCACCACATGACGTGATCAGGAGAACCAGGGGCCTGTCCTTTGACACTGGTGAGTTCCGGTGGCTTAGCCAAAGACCATGTTCCTTTTTGGGGCTCAGAGCTCAGAGTAACTTCGCATTTCATTCTGCCACTTCTGCCACAGAATGAGCTAATAGATACGGTGAATGGATAAATCTCTGACCTCAGTAAGGGGCTGTGTGTTCCAGAAAGTTACCTCTGTTGATAGTTTCTTTTATTGGTACATGGAGAATTAGAGATCTTGATGAATGTGTAAATAGAACATGCAAAAGTTTGTAAAAAGAAAAAAAAAAACCCTTATATGCTACATGGTTAAAACTTTGGACTTATATTTGCCTTACATTTTTACTAATATTGTAATATTTTATTTTATTTTTTAACTCTTCCACTAAATACCTTGCCTGTGTGTTCCTGTGCGCCTAAGGAAAAACCTTCTATTGTTATAGAGATGACTCGGTTTGAAGCCTGGAGTAAAGGGGCATGGACAGATGTATTCCTTCAGATATACAAGGTAACATTTCCAGGCTTGTTCACGGCTAGGGTATTTTGGTTGATTTATATGAATAATGTATTAGTTAAGGTATAGGTAATGATCCTGATTAAAGAATTCAAAAGCACAGTGGCTCAAATAAGGTAGACATTTTCTTTTTCTTTCTCATGGAACAATTGAGAAGGAAGTGCTTTAGGGATAGTACAGTGTCTCTTCCACGCTCAGTACTGGGCTTTCATTGTGGTACAATTTCTCAGAACAAGGAAGAAAGAACACCTACAAGAGTAGTGGAGGAAAAGTAAATACTGTTTAAGGCTGTCAGCCAAAAAGTGTATCATTTCTGTTGGGCAGGATTTACTCACATGATGGTACCTAGCTGCAGGGCATGTTGAGAAATGTAGTCCCTAAAATAGGTAGCTATTGTCATATTCTGATACTAAAAGGAAGCATTAGGGGCATCTGGGTGGCTCAGTCAGTTAAGCGTCTGACTTTGGCTCAGGTCATGATCTCGTGGTTCATGGGTTCGAGCCCCACGTCGGGCTGACAGCTCAGAGCCTGGAGCCTGCTTTGGATTCTGTGTCTTCCTCATGCTCGCTCTCTCTCTCTCTCTCTCTCTCTCTCTCTCTCTCTCTCTCAAAAATAAACATTAAAAATAAACAAATAAAAGGAAGCATTCATTAAAGAATGGATGATAGTGACAATTATGGTTTCTACTTCTAGTACATACTAGACTCTTGCTATAAACGTTATTCTGGGGAGATATGCACTAGGAATCCACGTCAGTAGGTAAGGCCAGTTTTTGAGGAGACTCTCCAATTTACCTCATGCCAAGTTGCATTTGTAGGTAGATTAACATAGCATAAATTATGCCTTCATATCCTGCATCTTTTTTGGATAAACAAAAAAGTCCTGAGAATCATTCCCTAGGCTTCTAAATGTGGCATGACAGATCTTGCCCACTAAGACTCGTGGGGGTTTTTGCTTTGTCTTCACAGATCGAAACCATAAGTAGGGTGAGCTGTGGAACAAGGGAGTTAAAATGAGGGAGAAGTTAAAAAGAAGCAGCAGTCACTGAAAGGAAAGGACAAAATTAATAACTAGATAGTGTGTAGTTTATGTAAGACTCTTGTCATGAGATGTTTTTGAAAAGTTTATTTTATTTTATATTTTTTTAAGAGACAGGCTGCAAGTGGGGTTGGGGCAGAGAGAGGGGAACAGAGGATCTGAAGTAGGCTCTGTGCTGACAGTAGCGAGCCCATTGCAGGGCTCTAACTCACCATCAGTGAGATCATGACCTGAGCCAAAGTCAGACGCTTCAACAACTGAGCCTCACAAGATGCTTTTTAAATGTGATATTGTTTAATCTTCACAAGCAGTAATCTCCAGTTGAGAGACAAGGAAACAAAAGTCCACAGGTATACGTACTATCTTCCAAGGTCACCTGATTTTAGCCATATAAAACCCTCTGATGTAGATGAAGCTTATTTCTTTCTTGTTCTCTGCAGGTACTGAAGCCCCAGGTCCCCTTGCTCCTCCTCTCTGGTAGCCTAAATCTGCCACGGCACCCAGCTACCCAGCCTACCCTCTAGAGAGTTCCTTCTGCTGCATGATTCCTACTTACTCCTCTCCTCTTGTTCTTGTGTCAGCCAGCCCTGCCTTTTGTTTGTTTGTTTGTTTGCCAGATGTCAAAGACAGAAATCCTGTTTTTCCTGGAGTAATTCCCTGAAGAATGTACAAGGGCATTCATGACTCTCAGCCAAACTTAGATTTGGAACATTTTCTTCTTTTTTTTCTTAACTCCAGGCTGTATCATCTATAATTTTGCTCACTAATAAAGAGGAGGACCTCTAAAACAGAAGGGAAGAAAATGCCCTACTTGATGGGCAAACTAGTCCTGACATTGGGTTGTGGGCTTTCTTCACTCATTCATTTATTCACTCATGCATTGATGGATATGTTTACTTCATCTTACCTGTCTTTCCCAACCTATAAGTCTATGAATTTAGAAGACAAGTATTGAGGTGCCTGGGTTGCTCAGTCGGTTAAGTATTTGACTGTTGATTCCCACTAGGGTCATGATCTCACGGTTCGTGGCTTTGAGCCCTGCATCGGGCTCCATGCTTACAGTGCAGAGCTGTCTTGAGATTGTCTCTCTCTTTACTCTCCCTGCTCCCTCTCTCTCTCTCTCTCTCTCTCTCTCAGGATAAATAAAAATTAAGAGAAATAAATAAAATAAAATAAAAACTAAATATTATTTGTAAATTGAGAATTTGGTAGAGTGTCAACTACATAGCAGATGCTCAACAAATACTTGCTACTTAACTATTAGGGTGCAGGCACTGTACTAGGCTCTGAGGGTGTAAACCGGATACAGTCTTTCTGTTCCAGGATTTTGTGTCCTGGAGTATATAAGTAACTAAAAATCTATAATTACATGGAAGCATGACAAATGCTATGATAAGGTAAGCCCAGAGCACTAAGGATGAGTGCACCTAGAGAAGAACCTACCTTTCCTGTGCCTTGGGGAAGGTTTCTGGGAAGAAAATCAATTTAATCTGACTTTGATCCCAGTCACAAGTTAGATTGTAGTTGACTTTGTAAGCCAAACCAAGGAATCTGGACTTTTTGGATTTTAGCCCAGGGTCAGTACAGAGCTAGCAAAGGATGAGGTTAGCATCCTCATGTTTAAACATGAAGTTGACATAATCAACTTTGCATTCTAGACAAATCACACTCTGGTACAGTGTGGAAACTGTTTGGAGCTGTATTTAAGAGCCTGGTGCTGGGAATACTGGTAGTAGTGGGAAAGATAAGTAAGGGGCAGCTTTTGTTAAGTATTAGGAGTAGAAAACAGTAGGACTTGGTTAGTGAATAGATCTTGGGGCGGGGGGTGAAAGAGAGAGGTAAAAGATGACATTGGGTCTTGCTGGGGTGACTGAATGGAATTTGATGCCAGTTACTGAAATAACAAGGCAGTGGGGGTACTAACAGGATTTTGTTGGGTGTGGAGGATGAGATAGGGTAAGAGGGCATAATGAATTAATTTTGGTTGTGCTGTATTATGGTGCCCTGTGTCATTATGAAGTGGGTATATCCTTCAGTCAGGAAAGAGTTCTGGGTGGCAACGTATGTTTGGGATTGTTTGCTGATAAAGTCATAGGAATAGATAAGATTGCCCAATCACACAGAGCTGTGATTCTCCATGTATTGTGTCTAAAGCATGGATAGCTCTAGAAGCTCTAATAAATCAGAAGTGGATTGGCAATTTATCTTGTAAAAGCAAGCAGTGTTGTTGACGGGAGTTTCACAGGTTGGAAATAGATTGTGATTTTCACAATCCCTTTAGGTTCTTATTTTCTCCTTCCTAAAGGTCATGTATGCATTCCATGGCTGCCTTTGTCAGTTCTCCTTGGCTAGTAGTTTGGATAATGGAATATAGCTTGTCTCAACCATTTTGATTTTGTGGCAGTTGCTTATTTTTGCTTGTTAAATTTCCATGTTTAATTATTGCTATTTTCTTCCATTATATTCCTAATTCACAAAAATGTATTGATGGCTAAAAATGGGTCATTGAAGCACAAGAGAGATGAAAAACAATAACACAAACACTCAAATTCAGAATGCTGTTTTAAATGTAAATATATAAATAGGGCTCTCATGTAGATATAAAGGATACATCTGTATATGCTGAAAGAAGTGCATGTGCTATTTTTACCGAAGAATCTGGAAAACAAAAAGGTGATTAATAATATCTGAATAATAAGTTTAGGTAAACACTTTATTCATTTGTTCCCAGTGCCCTGTCTATCATAAGGGTTTTTTTTTAATAGTGGCACAATTCTGTAAAATATTTTGATATTTTTAAACAGACAGCAGTAATCTTTCCCATTAATTAAACACATTTTTCCCAATTCAAAACTTCTGTTATAAAGTTGGAGTATTGCTAGTATTGCTAAAGGTAGGCAAGACCCCAGTTCTACTGAGGCATTATTTAGAATTGCATGCCTCTGTAGAAGACAAGCAAAGATAGCACAAGGGATCATATTTGTGAGGAAAACTGAAAATGAGCTTCAGTTAAATGTGATTGGGAAGAGTAAAATTGGTGAAGTTCTTCTCTTAAATGGCTTTACGGGATGTCCCTTAATGTCAGTGGCATATAGTGTGGAAACTGTTATTCTCATATGTGGTAGCAAATATTGCATGCTTTATTTGGATATAAGGGAGCATATGAACACATTTGCAGGTGTGTGATAAATACATGTGAAAGAAGTAAATGATAACGTTTTGTTCTCTTTACCAACGAAAGCCCATGCTCTTGGAAGAGTGATTCTTTGTCATTAATGTAAGATTAATTTGTAATGTAACCTGGAGGAAATCTGTTGGTGGTAGATATTGATAGACATTTAGCCATTGGTCACAAGAAAGGGTGTTGCAAATGAACCCTTATTCATAGGGAAATGTAGGTGATTAAAAATATGCTTCAGTTCCAAAGTCATTTGTTAAAGGAAATAGAAAAAAATATAAATACTGTTAGGCTACTGAGTTACCTAATTGCTTCACGATCTCTGTCAATTCAAGGTGTTTCTCTCCAATTTTGAGATGTGCTAGTTATGAAGGGGAGGTCACTCTCACATGCATTTTTCTTTTTTTTTTAATTTTTAAAAAAATTCTTAATGTTTGTTTATTTTTGAGAGAGAGAGCGTGAGTAGGGGAGGGGCAGAGAGAGAGAGAGACAGAATCTGAAACAGGCTTCAGGCTCTGAGCTGTTAGCACAGAGCCCGATGTGGGGCTCAAACTCAGGAATGGTGAGATCATGACCTAGGCCAAAGTTGGACGCTTAACCAGCTGAGCCACCCAGGTGCCCCCCACGTGCATTTTCCAACAGGAATGAGATTAAAAATAATATCTTCATAGCACTGATGTTTTTCCATATTGTCATTTTCATTATTTTAAGTGGCTAGCTCAAATGATCCACCAGGTAATCCTATCCATGTTTTGGACATATACCTATAGGATTTGAATATCATAATTTTTAATATGGGAGAAATCACTAAAGCATCTAAAGTTTGGCTTTTTTCCAAGATTTATTGGAGAAAAAAATGTATTGAACTGTTGAATAGACAGATGGACTGAATATGATTGTGTAGTTTCTACGCAGCTTGGGTTGATGATTGGGAGCTAAAACCAGCCTATGTGCTGCTCATGAAGGCTATGAACACTATTCTACTCTGTGTCTCAACAAACGAAGGGGGTATTTTTACTTTAAATAAGGGTACCATCAGGACGACAGTTTCTTAGAGCATGTGTCATTTTCTAATTTGCACAAAGACACTGTATAGGTTATGGAGCTCCTGGTAGTGGAAGCTGAAGAAACTTTTCCCAAAGATGAATGCCATTGAAGAGTAGAATACTATTTAATGCTATTGCCTGAGTTTCTTTACCTTTGGCTTTTGAGTGTGGTATGTTCATCAACCAGCTCGGCATTTGCTCGTTATTTGAAAGTAGATGAAGTACATTTCAATAAATAATCTCTATAATTTCAGGCTTCATGTTGGGCCTGACTGTCCAAAACAATCAAAATGAGCACCTATTCTATGAACCTGTAATTATGAGGTAGGATTTTCTCATTTAGTGGAAATAGAGAGTAAGAAAAGAAATTACTGAATATATAAAGTGATATAGAGCTCAATACATCCATCATCTAGGTAGATGTAAATACCTTGATAGAGTGTAACAATATCATTCATCTCATTGATATTAAGCTACACTTATTCTCATTACTACTACTAACATAATGTTCTAAATATTATGTTGAATCTTTATTTTTTAATTACAACAATTAGTGATCTTTCTTAATGCATATTTAGTGGTTTCTGGGAGATAAAATTGGGAGAAACACACCTATAAAATATGAAGAAAAGATGGCATGAGAAACCTGATATCAAAGAAACCCAGTATTTAAATAGGTAAGGGAAGAGAATCCTGCAAATGAGCTTGAAAAATTGCAAAAAGATAGCATTAATACTTTATGACATGATGAACAAGGAGGGAAGAAAGCCTTTGAGGGAGGGCGTGGTATCAGATGAAATTGATACCAGATGAAATTGAGAGGTTGCTTAAGAGAATGATTAAAAATTCCCTGTTGTAGGGGCACCTGGGTGGCTCAGTCGATTAAGCGTCCGGCTTCAGCTCAGGTCATGATCTCATGGGCTGTGAGTTGAAGCCCCGCATTGGTCTCTGTGCTGACAGGTCAGAGCCTGGAGCCTGTTTCAGATTCTGTGTCTCCCTCTCTGCCCCTCCCTCACTCATGCTCTGTCTGTCTGTCTCGCAAAAATGAATGAACGTTAAAAAAAAATTCCCTGTTGTATTGGACAACAAAGAGGCCAAAGGCACTTTCAGGGTGTGGGAGTAGTAATGTGTTGGGGGAAGGTTATTAGGTGGACTTTGGTTTGATGAACAAAAGGAATGAAAGTGGAGAGCATAAGGGTAGAAAACGCCTTCATGATTTATAACTGGTAGAGGGAACAGACAGAAGAATCAGGGGAATCCAAGTTTCGGAGAGCTCTCTAAAAGCTGAGTGTAAGTGAGCATGTTTTGATATTGCTGAAAAGGAACTGCTGAGGAGAGATAAATTAAAGATCCAAAAGCTAAAAAAGGCAACTGATGCAGGAATCTCCAGAAGAAGATAAGTAGGTTTGGTATCTAGTGCAAGATAAGGGGTAGCTCATCCATTGTTGCTGTAGAGTAGGAAGAAAAGTGAGTGCAGATGCAAGAACTTTGGGACACGTGGTAGGATACTGCCCTGTTCTCACTTAATATGTCAGCCCTTTCCTCTTTGAAGTAGTGATGAGGGATCTTCTGAGAAAAACTAGCATATAGGCTGATAGGGAAGGAGATCTGGTGAGAGATGATTAAGGAGCCAGGAGCCACTATGGGTAATAGGGGTGAGAAGACAAGGGAAACAGATCTCTGGGCCTGCAGGGCTTTATGTTTAATTTTTTTTTTTTTTTTTTACATTTATTTACTTTTCAGAGACAGAGAGAGACAGAGGATAAGTGGAGGAGGGGCAGAGAGAGAAAGAGACATAGAATCCGAAACAGGCTCCAGGCTCTGAGCTGTCAGCACAGAGCCTGATGCAGGGCTCGAACTCCCGGACTGTGAGATCATGACCTGAGCCGAAGTCGGGTGCTTAACCAACTGAGCCACCCAGCCGCCCCAGGGCCTTATCTTTAAATCAGAAACAGGTGCATCTCAGTTTTCCTGGAATCCCTGGCATCGATCTCTGTGGATGATTTATGCAGTGCCTAGGAGCCGAGGTCAGATTGCTGCTGTGCCTTCCACCACCAGCAAACTGCCTTGTAGCTTGTCTCCTCTTTGAGCTTTCTCTCTACCTCCTGTCTTAACTGAAGCTTGTGTCTTCACCCCCAGATCACTTCCAGGTGGGCCTCCTTAGTAGGGGCTGTGGATGAACAAGCTTGAATGCTTCTTTTAAAATTTTCTTTTCTGGAGCACCTGGGTGGCTTGGTTGGTCAAGCATCCGACCTCACCTCAAGTCAGGGTCTCATGGTTCATGAGTTCAAGCCCTGCAGCTGGTTCTCTGCTGTCAGCACAGAGCTTGCTTTGAACGCTCTGCACCCTTCTCTCTCTGCCCCTCTTGTGCTCACATGCGCTCTCTCTCTCTCTCCCCCCGCTCTCAAAAAAAACAATTAAAATTTTTTCTTTCTCTATTCCTTTTTAAAAATTTATGGGGCGCCTGGGTGGCGCAGTCGGTTAAGCGTCCGACTTCAGCCAGGTCACGATCTCGCAGTCCGTGAGTTCCAGCCCCGCGTCAGGCTCTGGGCTGATGGCTCAGAGCCTGGAGCCTGTTTCCGATTCTGTGTCTCCCTCTCTCTCTGCCCCTTCCCCATTCATGCTCTGTCTCTCTCTGTCCCAAAAATAAATAAACGTTGAAAAAAAAATTTTTTTTTTAATTTATTATTGTTTTTCTAGTTGTCTATGGAATTAAATTGTATTCTCTTTACAACAAATTTGTGATCTTGATAGTATTTAGACCTAAGTGACTGCAAGAAATTTTGTTAGGGTGAGAAACATTTGTGGTATGTTTGAGCAATGTTTATTATATTCTTCCATTTAAACAGTATGACCAAGGGAAAGGTAGGCTTCTAAAAATTAAACTTTATCTGACTTTTGCAAATTCCTAAATTAATTGTGCCTTTTTGGGATACATTTTTAGTTAAGGTTTACTAGAATAATTTATACACAGTTTAGAACATTCTGTGAAATTGTAGCAGACTAATGAAATTAAAATTTCACCTCATGTCATCTACATGCTGTTCAGTTTTTTCATGGGGAAGTACATCACATTTTTTCATTGCTATTCCATTTATTCATTATGAAACCAATCATTACTTTAAAAAAATGCTTATTTATTTTATTTAATTGTTTGGAGATGGAGAGTGAATTGGAGAGGGGCAGAGAAAGAGGGAGAGAGAGAATCCAGAGCAGGCTCTGTGCTGTCAGTGCAGAGCCCAACACAGGGCCCGATCTCACGAGTTGTGAGATCATGACCTGAGCAGAAACCAAGAGTCAGTCGCTTAACCAACTGAGCCACCCAGGTGCCCTTAATCATTACTTTTAAAATATTATTGTCTTTAAACATGGTTGAATAATATAAGAGCATTTCCTGGTAGAACAACAGCTTGAATTTTAGGCCACACAGAAACACTGACAAATGCAGGTGTAATATTACCTTGTTCTTGGAAACTTTGGAAAAGGAATTAACTTTGGTAACATTTTTTTTTAAGTTTATTTATTTATTTTCAGAGAGAGGAAGAGAGCTTGAGCAGGTGGGGGGCAGAGAGAGAGAAAGAGAGAGTCCCATGCAGGTTCCATGCTATAAGCGCAGAGCCTGATGCAGGGCTCAAACTCACAAACCATGAGATCATGAACTGATCTGAAATCTAGAGTTGGACACCTAACGGACTGATCCACCCAGATGCCTCATGTAGCATGTTTTAAATTGTTTTTCTACCTTTTACACTTTACCTTCTTAAATATTTTGAAATTCAGTCATTTTGGATTAAATATCTTTCTAAATGCACTTTAACTGGAGATTGCATTGCTTCGTTGTCATGTCCCTATTTCCAAGCACAGTAAGTGGCTTTGTGTCGTGCACTCAGTACATAAGAATTGAATGAAGGAATGGATATACACCTTCTTACCTTTAAACTAGAATGCAGTTTGTGTTTGAAACATTTGTATTGTCTCAGTATCTAGTACAGAGGTTACCACAGGATTCTATATGGGCAATTTCTCCTCTACCTGGTGCTCAGACACTTAGATTATTTTTTGCCTTTTAATAGTTTGTCTTTAATCTCTTGTCATCTGACTATTTTCTCTTGCTTTTCATTACTGTTATCAATGTGCCTGCTTACAGTAGTTCTTTTCCTATTACTTGTTATTTCTTGTGGCCTGGGAAATTAGATATCCCACTTACAACATTTTTCTATAAAATAATAGGCTTGGACTTAAAATGCACAAACAGGTTTTTATAAATTAAGGGAGAGACAGTTACCTTGCAGACTTTGAGACTTCACAGATTGTAGCTCAGGATATTTACATATGCATTGTGCTTGCTGGCCCGCCTCCATGAGGATTTCAAACAAAGGTGAAATTTGGACAGGCGAGTTGTTATTGCATTGCTGTGACTTGCATCTTTATTGTAGGGCTTTTCCGATGCCTTCTTTTACTCTTGAATGGATGTAATCAACCAGAAAATACTGATGCCTTCCTTTATTTACTCTTCAAATATTAATTTTTAATTTTGCCATTCAGGTCTAGTAAAAGTTCTGTCTTTTTCCCAATTTCAGGTTCTGGTACTATCCCGGGTTGTACCACACTGCAGCAGTAATCTGCCCCCCATTCATGTGCAAAATTCACCAAAGGTCAATCCTTGTTTTGTATCCAGCAACATATATTCGAGTTCTGAAAGGATTCTGCTTAATTGGATGAACACAAATTATGAGAATGCCCGACATATTATATGGAAGAACTGTCCCAATGGTGAGCAATTTTTTTCTTTAAATAAATTATTACTAATTGTAGTATAACAACATAGAACTGGACCCAGAATCCATGGATTCAAGACCTGACTCTTTTCTGTAAAAAGGATTTCTTCATACCTTCAAGTTCAGTTTCCTTACATGTGAAATGGAAATAATAAAAGATGCTTCTTTAATTTATTTTGAAGAAGAAATGATAAAAATTTCATAGAGATGTTCTACAACTGAAAGATAGCCTTAACATCATTGCTGGCATTTTCAGCTCTATAAATTTAGGTGACACTGATCAAATCTTTTATGTACTTAGTTAATATCAAGTGGAATTTGATTAGAAAATGTCTTCCATGTCACTGTGACAGTCATGTTGGAAATCACTAAGTGCAATAATGCTTCATGAATCTAGGGGGAGGTTGGTCATATTAGGTCCAAGTACTAAGACTAGTTAATGGGTGTTCATACAGAGACCTGCTCCACTGTTTGGGTGGCCACTCCCTGGTTCTGTCCTTATGGAGTGAGGCTCTGTAAACTTGCATCATAAGAGACTTCAGGTTTTTTTTTTTTCCTTTCAAAGTTCCAATTTGCTAGTATAGTGTATTTTTTTCCTTTATCATAAGTGTCAGTTGTAGTGACATGGAAGACAGAGTGCATGTTGGTTGTTTCTATGGCTAAAATTCAGCTCCCCCCTTCCAAGTACAAACAAACCTATTGTGTTCAGGATGGGTTGTGTTTTAATCATTAAATTTATTTTTTATGCTGAACTCTCAGAGTTTAAGCTTTAGAAGCAAGAAGATTTAAGAGTGTGATTTAAAATGAGGCTTTGCATTACAGTTGCTCTTAACTTGAAGGCATTACTTTAGCAAACATAGTGACATCAAGATTAAAATAGATATAGTGATACATTGGTATTAGGCAACAGTAAACATAGAATATTTTAGTACCTTCTAATTGACATGCTGATAATATCAAAACAATTGAATAAGATTCATATCTTATAAAACTGTATCTGGCCTTTGTTCAAAAAACAAAGTACAAATAATTAGGTTACTAAGGAGTAACACTTTAACCAGAGTAGTATAAAATATGTACGTATGTTAGAAATTAGTATATTCATTTGTTGGAAATTTTTTATGATTCTGTTTTTACCAACAAAACTGTCTATGCAAGTTAATTGCAAAGAGTTTGCTGCATTTTTTTAGAATAATACATTACAGGCACTGGCCTCTTTCTTGTTTTTTTTGTTTTGTTTTTTAAACTCTGAGGTTTATGGCTTTACAAAGCCTTTTTTTTGTGTTCCCTTCTACTTCCTTCTGCTTGGAGCATTATTTTTCTAGATATCTTCATGATTCTGTTTCTCACTTCATTCAAGTCCCTGCTCACATATCACTTTATGTGTAAGATATCGCAATACCCTCCCTAAAATAGCATGTCCTTCCATCCTTCTCTTTCTTCCTCTGTTTTTCTCAATAGCTTTTTTTCCAAATTATATATATAAAATCGAGAGTCTGTTTCCTCTAGTAGAATGTAAGCTTCTTAACAGAAACACTCTTCTCTGTTTTGTTGTTCACTGGTGTCTCAGAGCTTAGAACAGTGCCTGGAAGATAATAGATACCAAACACTATTTGAGGAAATAAATGAATGCAGAAATGCGTGAATAAAGAGACACATTCAGGTTTCATACATTTTTCTACTCTATTCCAGATAATTGAATACATATTAGCTTACCAGTTTGTACCTTCTGGTACATATTGCAGGAGTCAGGTTGAATGGTTGGGGTAGGAGGAGGCACTTTCCATGTTAATATGTACCTCAGTACAGGTCCGTGTGCTTAGTAACTGTGGAAGTGCACGAGGAGAAGCTCTGTGAAAGATTTCACTTTGGTTAACTCAGACTGAGAAAAAGTCCTACTCCATTCCCCAGAATTATATCGGTCAACATTGATATTTATTCTACTGATCCTCGCTCTGCTGGTAAAATCTGACCATGCTCACAACTTGGTGCGGTGGTGTTGTGGAGGGTAAAAGGATAGGGCTGCACCCCATACCTTTTGATTGAGAAACTCTTGAGGGTGAGGCCCTGCAATCTTTGTTTTATTAAGCCCTCCATGTGATTCTTCTTTTTTTTAATGTTTATTTCTTTTGGAGAGAGAGAGAGACAGAGACAGAGACAGCAAGCAGGAGAGGGACATAGAGAGAAGGGGGCAGAGAATCCAAAGTGGACTGTGTGCTGACAGCAGAGAGCCGGATACGGGGGTCAAACTTACCAACTGTGAGATCCTGACCTGAGCCCAAATCAATAGTTGGATGTTTAATTGACTGAGCCACCCTTGTGCCCCATCTCCATGTGATTCTGATGCATACTAACCTATGAAGCAATTAGGCTATAGTATCACAAAAAGCGGTTTCATTAGTGCTTTTAAATTGTTCGCAGTATGGTATTTTTTTCACCAGTTATATTTCTTTAAAAAAATCTTTTTAATGTTTATTTCTGAGACAGAGAGAGACAGAGCATGAGTTGGGGGGGTGGGGGGACAGAGAGAGAGGGAGACACAGAATCAGAAGCAGGCTCCAGGCTCCGAGCTGTCAGCAAGGAACCTGACGTGGGGCTCAAACTCACAAACCGTGAGATCGTGACCTGAGCTGAAGTTGGTCGCTCAACCGACTGAACCACCCAGGTGACCCTCACCAGTTATATTTCTGAAGTACCCCTCCTTTAAACAACAATTCCTCTGAAGAAGTAATGGCTGAAAATTTCCTCCAAATTAATGTCAGACCTCAAACTACAGATCCAGGAATTTTGGGGAATACCAAGCAGGATAAATATCAAAAAACAAAAAAAAAAACAAAAGAACTTAATACCTAGGAGTACTATATTCCAATTGCAGAAAACAAAACATAAAGAATCTTGAAAGAATCCAGAGGAAAATAAGAAAACATCTTACCCATAGAGGAGCTAAGATAAGAATTACATCCAACTTCTCAGAAATCATGCACTCTGGAAGAGAGTAGAGTATTTAAAGTGTTGAAATGGAATAAAAGATACTAACCAAAAATTCTGTACCCTGTGAAATTATCTTTCAATAGTGAGGGAGAAAACATTGCAGAGAATAGACAGTGGACCTTGCTTATAAATTTTTTGGGTAAACTGATTAGCTGGCAGCTTGCAGAGTCATCCTTATGGATATTGTGCCCTTGATCAGCCTGATGGGGGAACACATGAATTTTCTAGTTGTTTGTGGCTTTCCCACAAACTCTTGAGAGTTTAACAGTGTTGTCAACATGACAGGTGGCTTCCTTATTATATATCTGCTGAGGTCTTTATCAACACCTCCACCTCAGTCAGGTCAGGTCTGACATACATTTCTCATGAGAATTTCTTTGTAATGATGTAGGAACTAGGAAGGGTGTGACAAGTGAGGGAGTCTTCCTCTGTCAAGCAGAGTATGGAGTAGTAAAGTTGCAGTCAGTTTGCTCAAAGGCCTGGCCAACCAGGGCTTTGAGTATCAGTACAATGTTTTAGGACTTCATTCTGTTGGCCTTGGAGAGTCATGGGAGTTGGCCAAGGTGATGACTGCTATGATAAAATGGGTTTTTGATCTGGTGGCCACAGCAAGTCCATGGAGTGAAGTGTGCTGAAGTCATATGCTTTTGATCAGCACACCCAAATTTAGCACTGAGGGGAGACTGAGATTTCTTAACCCTGAACTTTCTATGAATTTATTCAAGAGTACATGGTGCCAGGCAGCCAAAGTTTGGGAGTCTCCTTTCCTAACGATGTATAGTTGCTGGGAGACATTGGTAAAAAGTGAACAAAAACAAAAATAAGAATAAAGTTACCCATCTTATGTTTGAAAATTCTTTTTTGAAAAAATATTTATTTTTGAGAGAGAGAGAGAGAGAGAGAGAGAGAGAGCATGAGCAGGGGAGGGGCAGAGAGAGAGGGGGAGACACAGAATCAGAAGCAGGCTCTAGGCTCTGAGCTGTCAGCACAGAGCCTGACATGGGGCTCAAACCCACTAACTATGAGATCATGGCCTGATCTGAAGTTGAAAGCTTAACCAACTGAGCCACCCAGGCACCTCTGTTTGAAAATTCTTAATATGTGTAATTTGTTCTAAGAGTTGTGAACATCAAAACGCATTTTCTGTGTAATAAGTGAACACCTGTCTCATGTCAATAGGGGACCTTTTTAGGGCTTGCCAGATGTTACATTTGCCCTTATAGATTTATCCTCTTGTTCCTACAGCTGTTTGTATTGTATGTGCTTAAGCCTTTTATCTTTAACACAATAGTTAATGTTTTTCAGTGATGAACCCTTTTTTCACACCTTAGTGACAGCATCTTCTTCAGTAGATCATGCCTGTGATAAAGTATCCTCTTTGTTACTCTTTTGGACCCTTTTCTTCAATTGCTACATTTGATTGCTAATGGAAATTTTATCATCCTGTAATCACCTGGTGATTTTGAGAACAGCAACAGACCAGTTTTGTAACATAAAGTTTAATTTCTGAGAGGACTAAGTACTTTCATTTGACCGTACTTTTAACCAAATCCTGAGACTGGAACATTTTGAACTGTCTGTTCAAAGGAGCTTTGTTCTACAAAATAGTATCTATTATTTAACTGATGCTTATCTCAACATTTTTTTCATGAAGTAACAATTGTAGTTCTTATGAATGGAAAATACTGTTTTCTTTTTATTATTATTTTTAGTAGAACAGAGTTATAAATATGCTGGCAACATTTACCTTTTATTTTATGTACTCTAAAGGTGCCCCTGATTTCATTTATCATGGAATAGTTTGTTAAAGTAAACAATATTCAATACACATTTGGAAAATTATACTGGTCTTTTAATGCTATCTATTCTTACACCTAATGTAGTGTTGAGGTCTTAAATCTTTAGGCATTGGTTGTTTCAAATGTGTCTAATGTTCAACTTCATTAAACCAGAAAATAGTTTTTATTTACAAAGAACTTTATATTTTTTAACAAGTTCCAAATT